ACCGCACAATCCGGCTGCTATCATCCAACAAACGACGTCTCAGTAGGATAAGACGGCATTCTAGCTGCATTGTTTACACCACCAGTTATAGTAGACGGAATCAATGGACGGCGATTATGGACAGTAACCTTGCTGCAGCTATAAGTAAGAGCACAATTTGTTTTACAGGTGACGTTAGTTAGACCACCAATAGCAGTTTATGGATACACAAATGATTCCAGGTTAATAGTGGACAACCGCGCTTTTTTCATGATGGTAACCTGCGGTCAGGCTACCCGTTTTATCACCGCACTGATGATCACAAAAGAAAGCAACAGCGGTAACATACGTGCATTTTACCAATTAGATTTCCGTCTCGAGCTAACGTCTTGGCCAATAAAACCGCCGTTTGTAGTCGTGCAAATTCATTTAATATTGACCAACCGTTTATCGCTTTGGAAAGTACAGTGAAATCCTAAAAGGACTATTTTCACTCTTTTAAGGACCCGGCTTTTGTGGATTAGGGGATCCGGATAGATTGTGACTGATGATCTGCAACACCAGATAGTACCGTGTTTTTGTAATAGGGCGAAGAAATAGCCCTTTTAGGATTTTGGTACCTGAGTTTATATGTCATACAAAACTAGGTGAGTCGCGAAAGGGTTAATGCACTTTGCGTTTTGATCCTGTGAATACATAATCAAAAGGGATTGGGATGAGTACGCAGAACGGCTCCCCTTCGCGATGAACACCGCCCAAGACAGGATTTACATAACAGCTACATTATCAGCCATTTGCAACCGAGGTTGAATTTATGAAAATCGTGAGCTCTGATTGGTTGACTGACCATTATTGGTCATGTTTAAGGCCTGTACCATGTCTTTTATTTGGGCGCATTTGCAACCGTTTGTTGGGCGCACCGTTGCATGAACAACTGAGTTTTCCAACCATGGCCAATAATATAATCAATTCAGGGTTGCAAAACCAAAACGGAGGTGGAGGTAAAATCGCACAACAGAAATCGCCGTACATGGTTCCCGTAGAGCAGTGCTACTTGTAGTAGACGGAGAAGCTCGGGTCGCTTACGGACTATAACGATCGCATTGTCAAAAAACTAGGCTCACTGCGCCGCGACACTGCAAGGAGAGAACTCGTGTACGAACGCAGGGCACAGCACTTACCAAGGCCACGGACTCGTCGTACAGAGCTACAACCGTGGCGGGGATGCTCGTGGACCCAGTGCTGTACGCATTCCTGAACAAGGGCGTGGACACGACGCAGCGCACAGCTCCGAGCATGATATGGGGACGTGGCTGTAGCTTGGATCTGCGCGGGGAAGCTCGTGAGCGCGGCGTCAGCTACCAAGGCGGAAAAGCGCGTAGGGGCGACGTCCGCTGTAGCTGGTAGTAAGGATAGAGCTAACGGTCTCAGCCTACCCCACTGGCCTCGCGTATAAACTATTCCAACAGAAGTTCCAGATTAAGGCTGACCGTGTGGATGACCTGGTCTCCAGCTATGCGTGCAGCAATGTTACAGCACTCGTATATCACTAATTCGCAGATATCACATTTACTACTATTTATAGCGATTTCTGACGGCTATGGACAAGCTCGTGAGCCCGGCGGTGGCTGCAAGCCGGTCAGGTTGTGGGCGCAGCGTCGCCTGCCAAGGCGGAAAAGGGCGTAGGCGCGACGTCAGCTGTAGCCGCTAGTAAGAATAGAGCTAACGGTCTCAGACTACGCCACTGGCCTCTCGTATAAAAAATTCCAGGGGAAGCTTCAGATTAAGGCCGATCGTGTGTATGAACTGCACGCCGGCTATGCGTGCAGCAATGTTACAGCACTCGTATATCACTAATTCGCAGATATCAGATTTACTACCATTGATAGCGATTTCCGAAGGCTATGGGGAAGCTCGTGAGTGCGGCGTCGACTGCAAGGCAGTCAGGTTGTGGGCGCAGCGTCGGCTGCCAAGGCGGAAAGCGCGTGAGCGCGACGTCAGTTGTCGCTGGTAGTAAGGATAGAGCTAACGGTCTCGGACTACCCCATTGGCTTAGTGTAGAAACTTTTCCAGGGGAAGTTCCAGATTAAGGCCAATCGTGTGGATGACTTGGACTCCGGCTATGCGTGCAGCAATGTTACAGCACTCGTATATCACTAATTCGCAGATCTCAGATTTACTACCATTGATAGCGATTTCCTACGGCTATGGAGAAGCTCGTGAGCGCGGCGTCGACTGCAAGGCAGTCAGGTTGTGGGCGCAGCGTCGGCTGCCAAGGCGGAAAGCGCGTGAGCGCGACGTCAGTTGTCGCTGGTAGTAAGGATAGAGCTAACGGTCTCAGACTTCTCCACTGGCCTCGTGTAGAAACGATTCCAGGGGAAGCTCCAGATTAAGGCCGATCGTGTGGAAGACCTGGACGCCGGCTATGCGTGCAGCAATGTTACAGCACTCGTATATCACTAATTCCCAGATATCTGATTTACTACCATCGATAGCAATTTCCGAAGGCTATGGGGAAGCTCGTGAGTGCGGCGTCGACTGCAAGGCGGTCAGGTTGTGGGCGCCGCGTCAGCGGCCAAGGCGGAAAGCGCGTGACCGCGACGTCAGTTGTCGCTGGTAGTAAGGATAGAGCTAACGGTCTTAGACTTCTCCGTTGACCTCGTGTAGAAACTATTCCAGGAGAAATTCCAGATTAAGGCCGATCGTGTGGAAGACCTGGACTCCGGCTATGCGTGCAGCAATGTTACAGCACTCGTATATCACTAATTCGCAGATATCAGATTTACTACCATTGATAGCGATTTCCGAAGGCTATGGAGAAGCTCGTGGGTGCGGCGTCGACTGCAAGGCAGTCAGGTTGTGGGCGCAGTGTAGGCTGCCAAGGCGGAAAGCGCGTGAGCGCGACGTCAGTTGTCGCTGGTAGTAAGGATAGAGCTAACGGTCTCAGACTTCTCCAGTGTCTTCGTGTAGAAACTATTCCAGGGGAAGTTCCAGATTAAGGCCGACCGTGTGGATGAACTGGACGCTGGCTATGCGTGCAGCAATGTTACAGCACTCGTATATCACTAATTCGCAGATATCAGATTTACTACCATTGATAGCGATTTCCGAAGGCTATGGAGAAGCTCGTGGGTGCGGCGTCGACTGCAAGGCAGTCAGGTTGTGGGCGCAGCGTCGGCTGACAAGGCGGAAAACGCGTGAGCGCGACGTCAGTTGTCGCTGGTAGTAAGGATAGAGCTAACGGTCTCAGACTACCCCACTGGCCTCGTGTAGAAACGATTCCAGGGGAAGCTTCCAGATTAAGGCCGATCGTGTGGAAGTTCTGGACTCCGGCTATGCGTGCAGCAATGTTACAGCACTCGTATATCACTAATTCGCAGATATCAGATTTACTACCATTGATAGCGATTTCCGAAGGCTATGGGGAAGCTCGTGGGTGCGGCGTCGACTGCAAGGCGGACACCTCGTGGGCGCAGCGTCGGCTGCCAAGGCGGAAAACGCGTGAGCGCGACGTCAGTTGTCGCTGGTAGTAAGGATAGAGCTAACGGTCTCTGACTACCCCACTGTCCTCGTGTAGAAACTATGCCAGGGGAAGCTCCAGATTAAGGCCGACCGTGTGGAAGATCCGGCTATGCGTGCAGCAATGTTACAGCACTCGTATATCACTAATTCGCAGATATCAGATTTACTACCATTGATAGCGATTTCCAACGGCTATGGGGAAGCTCGTGGCTGCGGCGTCGACTGCAAGGCAGTCAGGTTGTGGGCGCAGCGTCGGCTGCCAAGGCGGAAAGCGCGTGAGCGCGACGTCAGTTGTCGCTGGTAGTAAGGATAGAGCTAATGGTCTCGGACTACCCCATTGGCCTAGTGTAGAAACTATTCCAGGGGAAGTTCCAGATTAAGGCCGATCGTGTGGATGACCTGGACTCCGGCTATGCGTGCAGCAATGTTACAGCACTCGTATATCACTAATTCGCAGATATCAGATTTACTACCATTGATAGCGATTTCCGAAGGCTATGGGGAAGCTCGTGGGTGCGGCGTCGACTGCAAGGCGGTCAGGTTGTCGGCGCAGCGTCGGCTGCCAAGGCGGAAAGTGCGTGAGCGCGACGTCAGTTGTCGCTGGTAGTAAGGATAGAGCTAACGGTCTTAGACTTCTCCGTTGTCCTCGTGTAGAAACGATGCCAGGGGAAGTTCCAGATTAAGGCCGATCGTGTGGATGAACTGGACGCTGGCTATGCGTGCAGCGATGTTACAGCACTCGTATATCACTAATTCGCAGATATCAGATTTACTACCATTGATAGCGATTTCCAAAGGCTATAGGGAAGCTCGTGAGCGCGGCGTCGACTGCAAGGCAGTCAGGTTGTGGGCGCAGCGTCGGCTGCCAAGGCGGAAGCGCGTGAGCGCGACGTCAGTTGTCGCTGGTAGTAAGGATAGAGCTAACGGTCTCAGACTTCTCCAGTGTCCTCGTGTAGAAACTATTCCAGGGGAAGTTCCAGATTAAGGCCGATCGTGTGGATGAACTGGACGCTGGCTATGCGTGCAGCAATGTTACAGCACTCGTATATCACTAATTCGCAGATATCAGATTTACTACCATTGATAGCGATTTCCGAAGGCTATGGGGAAGCTCGTGAGTGCGGCGTCGACTGCAAGGCGGACAGCCCGTGGGCGCAGCGTCGGCTGCCAAGGCGGAAAACGCGTGAGCGCGACGTCAGTTGTCGCTGGTAGTAAGGATAGAGCTAACGGTCTCAGACTTCTCCGTTGTCCTCGTGTAGCAACGATGCCAGGGGAAGTTCCAGATTAAGACCGATCGTGTGGATGAACTGGACGCCGGCTATGCGTGCAGCAATGTTACAGCACTCGTATATCACTAATTCGCAGATATCAGATTTACTACCATTGATAGCGATTTCCAAAGGCTATGGGGAAGCTCGTGGGTGCGGCGTCGACTGCAAGGCAGTCAGGTTGTGGGCGCAGCGTCGGCTGCCAAGGCGGAAAACGCGTGAGCGCGACGTCAGTTGTCGCTGGTAGTAAGGATAGAGCTAACGGACTCGGACTACCCCACTGGCCTCGTGTCGAAACGATGCCAGGGGAAGCTCCAGATTAAGGCCGATCGTGTGGAAGATCCGGCTATGCGTGCAGCAATGTTACAGCACTCGTATATCACTAATTCGCAGATATCAGATATACTACCATTGATAGCGATTTCCGAAGACTATGGGGAAGCTCGTGGGGTGCGGCGTTCGACTGCAAGGCAGTCAGGTTGTGGGCGCAGCGTCTGCTGCCAAAGGCGTAAACGCGTGAGCGCGACGTCAGTTGTCGCTTGGTAGTAAGAGATAGAGCTAAACGTCTCGGACTACCCCAGTGTGCTGGTGTGAAAACTATTCCCAGGGAAGCTCCCAGTTTAAGGGCGGTGCGTGTGAGAGAAACTGGGACCCCGCGGATTGTGCGTGCAGCAATGTTACAGCACTCGTATATCACTAATTCGCAGATATCAGATTTACTACCATTGATAGCGATTTCCGAAGGCTATGGGGAAGCTCGTGGGTGCGGCGTCGACTGCAAGGCAGTCAGGTTGTGGGGGCATCGTCGGCTGCCAAGGCGGAAAAGCGCGTGAGCGCGACGTCAGTTGTCGCTGGTAGTAAGGATAGAGCTAACGGTCTCGGACTACCCCACTGTCCTCGTGTAGAAACTATTCCAGGGGAAGCTCCAGATTAAGGCCGACCGTGTGGATGAACTGAACGCCGGCTATGCGTGCAGCAATGTTACAGCACTCGTATAGCACTAATCAGCAGATATCAGATTTACTACCATCGATAGCGATTTCCGAAGGCTATGGGGAAGCTCGTGGGTGCGGCGTCGACTGCAAGGCAGTCAGGCTGTGGGCGCAGTGTAGGCTGCCAAGGCGGAAAACGCGTGAGCGCGACGTCAGTTGTCGCTAATAGTAAGGATAGAGCTAACGGTCTCAGGCTTCTCCACTGTCCTCGTGTAGAAACTATTCCAGGGGAAATTCCAGATTAAGGCCGATCGTGTGGAAGACCTGGACTCCGGCTATGCGGGCAGCAATGTTAGAGCACTCTTATAGCACTAATCAGCAGATATCAGATTTACTACCATTGATAGCGATTTCCGAAGGCTATGGGGAAGCTCGTGGGTGCGGCGTCGACTGCAAGGCAGTCAGGTTGTGGGCGCAGCGTCGGCTGCCAAGGCGGAAAACGCGTGAGCGCGATGGCAGTTGTCGCTAGTAGTAAGGATAGAGCTAACGGACTCGGACTACCCCACTGTCCTCGTGTAGAAACGATTCCAGGGGAAGCTCCAGATTAAGGCCGATCGTGTGGAAGTTCTGGACTCCGGCTATGCGTGCAGCAATGTTACAGCACTCGTATATCACTAATTCGCAGATATCAGATTTACTACCATTGATAGCGATTTCCTACGGCTATGGAAAAGCTCGTGGCTGCGGCGTCGACTGCAAGGCAGTCAGGTTGTGGGCGCAGCGTCGGCTGCCAAGGCGGAAAACGCGTGAGCGCGACGTCAGTTGTCGCTGGTAGTAAGGATAGAGCTAACGGTCTCAGGCTTCTCCACTGTCCTCGTGTAGAAACTATTCCAGGGGAAGTTCCAGATTATGGCCGATCCTGTGGATGACCTGGACGCCGGCTGTGCGTGCAGCAATGTTACAGCACTCGTATATCACTAATTCGCAGATATCAGATTTACTACCATCTATAGCGATTTCCGAAGGCTATGGAGAAGCTCGTGGGTGCGGCGTCGACTGCAAGGCGGACAGCTCGTGGCCGCAGCGTCGGTTGCCAAGGCGTAAAGCGCGTGAGCGCGACGTCAGTTGTCGCTGGTAGTAAGGATAGAGCTAACGGTCTCAGACTACGCCACTGGCCTCGTGTAGAAACGATGCCAGGGGAAGTTCCAGATTAAGGCTGATCGTGTGGAAGACCTGGACTCCGGCTATGCGTGCCGCAATGTTACCGCACTCGTATATCACTAATTCGCAGATATCAGATTTACTACCATCGATAGCGATTTCCGAAGGCTATGGGGAAGCTCGTGGGTGCGGCGTCGACTGCAAGGCAGTCAGGTTGTGGGCGCAGCGTCGGCTGCCAAGGCAGAAAGCGCGTGAGCGCTACGTCAGTTGTCGCTGGTAGTAAGGATAGAGCTAACGGTCTCGGACTACCCCATTGGCCTAGTGTAGAAACTATTCCAGGGGAAGTTTCAGATTAAGGCCGATCGTGTGGATGAACTGGACGCCGGCTATGCGTGCAGCAATGTTACAGCACTCGTATATCACTAATTCGCAGATATCAGATTTACTACCATTGATAGCGATTTCCGAAGGCTATGGGGAAGCTCGTGGCTGCGGCGTCGACCCAAGGCAGTCAGGTTGTGGGGCGCAGCGTCGGCTGCCAAGGGCGAAAAACGCGTGAGCGCGATGGCAGTTGTCGCTAGTAGTAAGGATAGAGCTAACGGACTCGGACTACTCCACTGGCCTCGTGTAGAAACGATTCCAGGGGAAGCTCCAGATTAAGGCCGATCGTGTGGAAGTTCTGGACTCCCGGCTATGCGTGCAGCAATGTTACAGCACTCGTATAGCACTAATCAGCAGATATCAGATTTACTACCATCGATAGCGATTTCCGAAGGCTATGGGGAAGCTCGTGGGTGCGGCGTCGACTGCAAGGCAGTCAGGTTGTGGGCGCAGCGTCGGCTGCCAAGGCGGAAAACGCGTGAGCGCGATGGCAGTTGTCGCTAGTAGTAAGGATAGAGCTAACGGACTCGGACTACCCCACTGGCCTCGTGTAGAAACGATTCCAGGGGAAGCTCCAGATTAAGGCCGATCGTGTGGAAGTTCTGGACTCCGGCTATGCGTGCAGCAATGTTACAGCACTCGTATAGCACTAATCAGCAGATATCAGATTTACTACCATCGATAGCGATTTCCGCAAGGCCTACGGGGAAGCTCGTGAGTGCGGCGTCGACTGCAAGGCGGACAGCTCGTGGGCGCAGCGTCGGCTGCCAAGGCGGAAAGCGCGTGAGCGCGACGTCAGTTGTCGCTGGTAGTAAGGATAGAGCTAACGGTCTCAGACTTCTCCACTGTCCTCGTGTAGAAACGATTCCAGGGGAAGTTCCAGATTAAGGCCGATCGTGTGGATGACCTGGACGCCGGCTATGCGTGCAGCAATGTTACAGCACTCGTATATCACTAATTCGCAGATATCAGATTTACTACCA